GCCCTGAGCACCCCTTCTCCCATGAAAACTTTTAATTTGTGATTTATTTTGTAGTATGAATGAATCTTCATTTGTTCAAGAGTAATTTCTTTACCTGTTTGTTTTGATCTTGGAAATTGTGTTGCAAATATTTTTCCCTTTGTCATTTATTTCTTGATTTAGTTATTTATGTCTGTAGCCAGTTGATTTTGCTGTTTGCATTTAAATTGTTGACCCTGCAAGAAGTTATTTTGGCTTCCCTGGTGGCTCAGACGGTAAAGCATCTGCCTGCAATGCAGGAGACCTGGGTTCAATCCCTCGGTCAGGAAGGTCCCCTGGAGAAGGACATGGCAACCCACTCCAGTACTCTTGCCTGGAGAATCCCATGGATGGAGGAGCCTGGCGGACTACAGTCCATAGTGTTGCAGTCGGATATGACTGAGCTACTTCACTCAGAAATAAGATGGGATCCAACTCTTCTTTTTTTCTGGGGAAATGACAGTTACCACAAATATTTCTTGAATGATTCTTGCTTATCATGCAGTAAACTTTCATATATCTGAACTCTTTAATACTTCATTGTACTCAGTGCTTATATCAAATATTTATAATACCTGGGTAGGCCATTACCTTTCTCCACATTTACTCTTTATAAGAAAAAAAATTATTTTTTTTTTTTGGCTATTTTGTCCTCTTATTTTTCCATGTGAACTTTAAAATTGGCCTTTTCCTGTGCCATAGAAGTATCAAGAGGTGTTTTGTTACCATATGAAATTTATAGATTCAGTCTTCCATTTATTTACATAGTCTTTTGGTACCATAACATTTTATTTACATGGCTCTTAATAGATTTAAGTTTATTCCTAGGTATTTTTCTGTATTACAGATGGAATCCTTGCTGATTGTTTTGTATTTAATATGAAATGGCTGTTGGTTTCTGCATATAAATTATAACAGCTTATTAAATTCTGTTTCTATTGTGATTTTTCAGGTTATTCTAAATTGGATTGTAAATTGCCAGTTTGTAAATTAATAGAATTCTGTCAGAAGAACTGGAATATCTTCATTGTGATTTCATCATTTCTTTGCTGTAGTAAAAGGCCAAATTATAATTTTTAAAAAACAAGCAAACATACCAGAATGAAAATAGTCAATTTGATTAATTTGATTATTTTAATGGCAATCGCTTTTATTTTTTATTTGTTCAATATTTTAAACATTCAATTTCATTGAATGGCCCCTGTGTTGGAGATAAGATCTGGCCAGTGCTGGAGAGAATGCCAGACTGACTGTGTCTCTTCAGACCTGTCTTCTAAAGATGAAGATCATTCTGTGGTTGGCTTCAGTAGTAACTGTTTTTTAGAATAGCTAAAAATGCTTTAATATGGAACTGAACCACGAGAAGTGGGAATTTTGCCTTAATTTTGGTCTGAATAGTGCTAATTGAGCTAAAATAAAATAATAGTTAAATAGAGTGAGGGAAAAGTGATTTTAGATACAAGAAAAAATGTTACATAATTCTTACAGTTTTCAATTTGAAGATGCGCTACATAACTTGTGTGAGTTGCTGAGACTTTTGTCTCACATTTTAGTTAATGTCGGGGCTTCCCTGGTGGCTCAGACAGTAAAGCATCTGCCTGCAGTGCCGGAGACCTGGTTTCGATTGTTGGGTTGGGAAGATCCTCTGGAGGAGGGCATGGCAACCCACTCCAGTATTCTTGCCTGGAAAACCCCCACAGACAGTGAAGCCTGGTGGGCTCCAGTCCATGGGGTCGCAGAGTCGGACATGACTGAGCAAATCACAAATGTGGGCATAAAAGGTGTTTACTGAAGCAGTGCTTCTCAAACTTTGCTGTGCATACTCATCGCTCATTCTGATTCTGTGGGTCTGGAGTTTGCTCTGAGGTTCTTTATTTCTAACCAGTTTTCAGATGCTGCTGGTCCCAGACCATGCTTCAAGTAACCAGGTACTAAATGACCATCACTTTGATATGGTTTTCTAGATAAGCTGAACTATGTAAACTAAATATTAAACAGATCCCATTGATCAAATGCATCATTCTTTTTTTTTCTATTCCATAGATGGTTTCCCTGCTTATTAGAAATGCTGCATTTACTGACTCATTGTGGTGTCCTGCTTACTAGTGCATACACTCTACCTCAAGGAGCATGATGACATTCTGCCACCCTCTTCTCCCATCCAAATTTCAAATCTGTGACACTTCTTTTCATCTAATTTCTTAAGACCGGGTTGTTGTTCTTCACCTGTCTAGGTGTTGTTCTTCACCTGTCTTCATTTCCCATCTTTCAAGATCCACTTCAAATCCTAGCTTTAGGACATCTGTTTCAGCTGCTTTAGCCCACTTGGAACCATCTTTTCTCTAAACTTCAGTGTCTTTTAAAGTCAGTGTTTTACTTCTGTCTCTTGGTTTGTCTCCCTAGTTGGATTGTAGACCAGCTAAAGTGGAGGTGTCGCTCGGGGACGCTTCGCCTCCCCTTTATGACCTCTCCTCATGGACATGTAAAACCAGTTTGGACACTGTCTCTGAATCTGTAAACTTTGCTCTAAAAACCTGTTTCTATTCCTGTGTTCTTTGTAGCAGTGAAGACCAAAGATCTTAGAGTCAAGGGGAAATCCAGTCTTTTAACAAGTCCAGTTGCTTTTATATTTTAAGCATTTCATGAATCCATGCTTTTCTCTTCCTCTAGTCTAAGCTTAAGAGCAGCTTTCATGGACCAACCTAGGAGACTATGAACTAACCTGTCTGCATCCACTCTGTTGCCCCTTGCAGTCCGTTCTCACAACTGTAGTATAACTCCAGTCTATCATGTATGTTAGTGTCTCCAGAATTGTCTTTCATATGTTGCCTTTCTCTGTTTACCCCAATTTATAAACCTTATTTTACAGTATCTAGGGACAAGTCACTATGTTTTTCTGACCCAGTCTTCCCTTTACACTTTGCCTGAAAGAAAGTGAAAGTGAAACTCTTTGCGACCCTGTGAACTATACAGTCCATGGGATTCTCCAGGCCAGAATACTGGAGTTGGTAGCCGTTCCCTTCTCTAGGGGATCTTCCCAACCCAGGAATCGAACCCAGGTGTCCTGCATTGCAGGTGGATTCTTCACCAGCTGAGCCACCAAGGAAGCCACACTTTGCCTAGTTAGTCCCTTTTTACCCTTCAGAATACAAGTCAAGATTCCTTTACTTGGGAAAGTATTCCTTGATGCTTCCCTGGAACCAGAGAGATTTTTGAAGGAAAAACAAAGCAAATCAACAAACCTTTGATGGCATCTCTTTGTTTTCAGCATAAAGCAAGATTGGCACTTGGTCAGGCCTTCTGTTTACATCTGTTAATCGTTTGTGTGTTATCAGTTGTTAAAATCACTGATGTTTGAATTAATTCTTTTTGTTCTAGTAGGCCTCTATTAAAAACAAACAGCAAACAAAACCAGCCTACCAAAAACTACTTGTTAACAAAGCAGAAAGACATTAATTGGTCCAATCACTTTAAAACACTAGGACTTAATAGGGGTGAAAATCAGTGTTAATTGGATATTATGGATTTATTTTTAATGATTTTTTGTTTTATTAAAAAAAAATAAAAGCATGCATACTGTGAAGTATAAAACTATGTCTTATAGGTTTGTTATCATTTAAAAGTTAATACACTTTGTTTTATCACATTCAGGTTTACAGAAAAGTATTGGGTTTTTACGTTATATCTAATAAGTCATCAAACCTAAGGTTATTTAGATTTTGTCCTGTTATTTTCTAAGAGTTTTATAACTTTGTATCTTACATTTAGATCTGTGGTCCATTTCAAATGAATTTTTGTGAAAAGGTTAAGGTCTGTAGATTTCTTTTTCTTTCTTTCATACATGGATATCCATTTGTTTCAATACCATTTGTTGGAAAGACTGATCTCTTCATTGAATTGTCTTTGCTCTTTTGTCAAAAGACTGCTTGACTATTTGTGTGTGGGTTTGCTTTTAGATTCTTCCATTGATCTATTCTTTTACCACTATTATACTGTCTTGATTACTGTATCTTTTTTGGGGGGGGGCACTGTTTTTAATTGAAGGATAATTGCTTTATAGAATTTTGTGGTTTTCTGTCAGACATCAACAAGAATCAGCCATAGGTACACCCATATCCTCTCCCTGCTGAACTTCCCCCCCCATTCCACCCTTCTAGAGTGTCACAGAGTCGTCGTTTAAGTTCCCTGAGTCCTGCAACAAATTCCCATTGGCTAGCTGTTTTACATGTGGTAATGTAAATTTCCATGTTATTCTCCATACATCTCACCCTTGGCCCCCTCCCCTGCCCCTGTGTCCATAGCTCTGTTCTCCACCTCTGTTTCTCCATTGCTGCCCTGAAAATAAATTCATCAGTACCATTTTTCTAGATTCCATATATATGTGTCAGTATACCTTAATTTCTCATTCTGACTTACTTCACTCTGTATAATAGGCTCTAGGTTTAGTAACTAGTGAAGTTGAATGGAGCATGTCAGTCTCCTAACTTTATCGGTATTGTTTTATAGGTATTTTCTTGAAGAGACCTCTAGTCTTTCCCTTTCTATTGTTTTCCTCTATTTCTTTGCATGGTGACCAAAGCCATCCCCAAGGAAAAGAAATGCAACAAGGCAAAATGGTTGTCTGAGGAGGCCTTAGATAAATGATGGAAAAAAAAATTATGTAAATATGGAGAAAGCTACTAGATGCTGGAAAAATTTTTTTTAGAGTTAAGGGTAGGCAGATAGTATGGAATTCCAGAATACCAGAATATGCAGAGAACCGGAATAACCTAGAGACATAGTTAGAAAATGATGTGTCAGGCAGTGGTCTTGTAGTAAAACACATGAGACATGGAGATGAGTGATGCAAGCGATCAGTGCTTCTCATCCTCTCTTAATTCCGCATTTCAGGGTCCCAAAGTCCTGAGATGATAGCGAGTTTGCAAAAGTTTACAGGCTATTCCAGTTGGATTTCTTTGCAGTGAAACTTTCTTGTTCCACAGCTCTTGGATAAGCACAAGAATACGGAGAGCATGGTAGAGCTTCTGGACTTGTATCAGATGGAGGACGAAGCCTACAGCAGCCTTGCAGAAGCCACAACTGAACTCTATCAGTATTTACTGCAGCCATTTCGAGACATGCGAGAACTTGCTATGCTACGAAGGCAGCAGATCAAGGTATTTTTTTTTAAACCTGAAATGCAACCTACCTATTTCGTAGTTCTCAGTCTGGCTGGCTATGCATTTTAATTATTAGAGGAGCTTTTATAAATGTAGATATCTGGTCCATTGTTCCCAAAGATGCTAGTTTGGTAGTTTTGTGTTACACAGAGCCTGAATACCTTATTTTAAAAGCATCTGAAAAGGTGACTCTGCTGAATAGGCGGGGTTGAGAGGACCTTGTCTAGCCTAGTCCTAGACTTCTTTAGCAGGAGTTTGGGGAACATATGTTTTGGGAGGACCTCTTTAAAAGTTATAAGGCTTTAATGGTAGACTTTTAAACTTCATGACATTTGATTTTTGTGTGTAAAGTAATACTACATTTTTTGAGGTGAGTGTTAGGGGTTTGGTTTTATAGCTGACCTAAAATCAGTGTTGCTATTTAATTCACATGAAAATATTGCTGAACTAGGATATTAAAATTTTTTTGCATAATGGGTTAATTTGGAGCATTATTTAATAAATTTATATGTGAGAAATTACTAATTATTCTGAGAACCTTATGCTTGGGGGCAAGAATGAGTGTATATTTGAAAAAGTATAATGTAAAGCATGTCTCTGTGTCTTTTTTCCTTTAATGAATCAACATGGAGCCATACAGACCATCACATAATTGATATGTTCTTCTTTATTAATAATTTTGAAAAATATGGGCATTTTGAAAAAAAATGGAAGTTTTACCATAAAACTTGGCATTTTGGTTAAAGTGATAAATAGTAACTAAGAACTTTTAGGCATTACAGTTTCCTTCAATTTTTAAAAATGAACTGTAGAATTTTTGCCCATTGAAAACTTGACTGGAAGGCCAGGGATGAGCTAGAAGACATGGAGGCCCCATCTTCTTCTAAACTAGGTTGCAGTGTAGAGCAGACATAATATATACAGCTTAACATTGACTATCAGAGTCTATGTGAATTTTTGCTTTCATATTAATTATTAATATATCATGATTTGTATAGGAGAAGGCAGTGGCAACCCACTCCAGTTCTCTTGCCTGGAAAATCCCATGGACGGAGGGGCCTGGTGGGCTGCAGTCCATGGGGTTGCTAAGAGTTGGACATGACTGAGCAACTTCACTTTCACTTTTCACTTTCATGCATTGGAGAAGGCAGTGGCAACCCACTCCAGTGTTCTTGCCTGGAGAATCCCAGGGACAGAGGAGCCTGGTGGGCTGCCGTCTATGGGGTCACACAGAGTCAGACATGACTGAAGCGACTTAGCAGCAGCAGCAGTATGACTTATGCTGAGTATTAACATTAGCAAATTGATTGAACCGCCATGTCAGACTGTACTGTCCACTAGCATCACTTAATACTCCATTTTTTTCTCCTGGGAAGCAGAATATAGGTGAAGAGAAACTGCCAATGTATTTTTTAAACTGGTAATATTTTCAGAGGTAAAAACGGTATTTTACTGCATTGGTCCTCTGATGCCTCTCAACTATAATGATGAGCTAGAAAGAGAACAGGAACAAATTTGTGCCAAAAATTCAACTACTTAGATGAAATGGACACATTTCTTATGGAAATACAAATAGTCAAAATAGGTTCAAAGGAAAATAGAAAAAATTTGGTAACTTGATATTAACAAAGTTGAATTCATAATTTAAAACCTTGAGGTAAGCATTATCCAAATCAAATGACATTACAGAGAAAAAGAAAACTACAGATAAATATCCCTCATGAATGTAGATGTAATAATCTTTAATGTAGTATTGAAAAATAGGATTCAGTAATATACCATAACCAGGATTTATCTCAGAAAGACAAGATTGGTTTAACATTACAAAAAGTAATCAATGTAACTCACAATATTATCAATAAAGAAAAAAAAAATCAGTGTCTGTGGGTGCATGAATGCATTTGATAAAGTTCATTGCCCATCCATGGTAAGATTTCAGCAAAGTAGGCAGAGAAGGGAACTTCCTTGACCTGACAAAAATGAAAGTGTTAGTCACTCAGTCGTGTCCAACTCTTTGTGACCCCATGGACTGTAGCCCGCCAGGCTCCTCTGTCCATGGAACTCTCCAGGCAAGAATACTGGAGTGGGTAGCTATTCGCTTCTCCAGGGGATGGATCTTCCTGACCTGGGGATCAAGTTTGGGTCTCTTGCATTGCAGGCAGATTCTTTACTGTCTGAGGTACCAGGGAAGCCCATCCTTGACCTGATAAAGGATATTGTGTAGAGCTCATTTAACATCATACGTGATGATGAATGATTGAATTCTTCCCCCACTAGACAAAATTGTCTGCTCTCACAATTTTTATTCAGTATTTTTCTGGCATTGGGGGAAAAAGTAAAGCTTTTTGTAATTCGTAGAGTATGTGATCACACATGTGAAAAATAAGAATCTAAAAAAGCTACTGGAAGTAATCGGTGAGTTTAGTTACAAGGTCAATATTTAAAAATTCAGTTGTATTTTCTGTCTTCTAGAAATGAAACTGAAACAAATTTTTTAAAATGCTTGAAATGTTTAAAGATAAATTTTATAAAATCTATTAAAGGACTGTATACTGAAAAATTAAAATTTTGCTGAGAGAACTTAAAGCATACCTAAATAAATGGGAGATAGACCATGGTAATAGATTGGAAGAAAATCTATTAACAGTAGTCAGTAATGTTCACATGTCAGCTCTCAATGGATCTGTAGATGCAAATTAAAATTCCAGTAGGGTGGTTACATATTCAATTAGTTTTTCACAAAGGTACCAAAGAATTCAGTAGGGGGAAAAAATAGTCTTATCAACAAATGTTGCCAGAAGTGGATATATATATATATAGAAAAAATGAACCCTAGTCTTCCTTATGTTACACCATATACAAAAATTAATTTGAATATATCTTAGACGAAAACATAAAGCTTATAGTATAAAACTTTTATAAGCAAACTGCTAAAGGTTTTACAGTCTTTGGGAAGGAAAGGCAAATGTTTTTTTAGATACGGTGCAGAAAACTTGACCCAAAAACTAATAAAAAGAATGATAAATTGGACTTCACTAAAATTAAATATTTTGCTATTTGAAAGATTAAGAAAATGAGAAGGCAGGCCATACACTAAGACAAAATAACTTGTAATATCAATATATCTGAGAACAGAACTGTGCAACTCAGTAAGATAAAATCCCCAAATTTTCAATATGAGCTAAATATTTAAAAGGACACAAAGAAATGACCAGTAATCACATATAGAGATGCCCAACACACTCACCTAGGAAATACAGATTGATACCAGAATACAATACTGTACATACTCACCTAGGAAATAGAGATCGATAGCAGAGTGTGACAGTGTTACACACTCAGCTAGGAAATAGAGATCAATACCAGAGTGCGACAGTGTTACACACTCAGCTAGGAAATAGAGATCATCCCAGAGTGCGACAGTGTTACACACTGATTATTCAGGTGAGTGTAATGAAATATTTAGCCCTCCCAAATGGTATTGAGGATGCAGAGTAGAGTAACTGGAATAGTCATACATTGCTAATAGGATTTTAAAGTGGTACAGCCACTTGGGAAAACAGCTTGACAGTTTCTTCAAAAATTAAACGTATACAGTTGAACTTTGAACAGCCTTTGGGTGTGGTTCCAGTACCTGCCATTTATACCAGAATTCTCAGATGTTTAATGGCAAAATAGCTTTCCAGATCCATGGTTCCCCATCTGTGGATTCAACAACAGCAGATCTTATAGCACTGTAATATTTGTCGGGGCAAAAAATCTGCATAGAAGTGGACTCAGGCAGTTCTAACCTATGTTGTTCAAGAGTCAGCTGTACATATCTTACAACTCAGCTGTTTGTCTCCTAGTTACCTATACAAGAGAAATGAAAACATCTGTTCACAAAAGAAAAAAACTGCCAGTGTTTTTGCCGACTGTATTCCCAGTAGCCCCATACTGGAACAGCTCAAATAACCATCAATAGGTGAATGAGTAAATAAAATGTGGTATATCCATATGATAGAATAATATTCGACAATACAAAAGGTGGTCTTCCCTGGAGGCTCAGTGGTAAAGAATCCACCTGCCAATGCAGAAGACGCAGGTTAAATCCCTGGGTCGGGAAGGTCACCTGGAAAAGGAAATGGCAACCCTCTCCAGTATTCTTACCTGGAAAATTCCATGGACAGAGGAGCCCGGTGGTTTACAGTTCATGGGTTCACAGAGTCAGACATGACTTAACAGCTAAACAACACAGGACACAGCAAGATAGACACACCTCAGAGTCATGCTAAGTTGAAGAAGCCAGATACAAGAGAATATATGCTGTGTGAAGGGATGGATGGCAAAGTGGTATTGGAATATTTTGGAGGTGACAGAAATGTTTTGTATCATGATTGTAGTGGTTGTTTCTTGGGTTTATAGCAATCAAAACCCATCAAATCACATACTTTAGGTGGATTGAGTCACTTGATTTTATGTAAATTAATTAAATCCTGATTAAACAGCTTACAAAAAGTTGTGCTGAGCGAAAGATGCCAGACACAGAGTATAAACTATGCCTCCATTTACATGGAATTCTAGAAAATTGTTCTGAAGAGTTGTTGCCTGTGGTGGGGCCGGGGAGATTCTCTGAGAGGAAGCAGATGTAACAGAATCCTTTGGAGAGATTGATGTGCTTTAAATCTTGATTATGGTGGCTGTTAACATGGATATAAAACTTTGTCAAAATTTATGTTTAAAACATGGGTACATTTTGTTGTATATAAATTATAACTCAGGTGATTTTTAAAAAGAGGAATGAGCAGAATGTACAAGTTTATGTAGAGACACAAGATGAGGCGATCAGCATAGCCTGAAGACATATGGTAAAAGAGGGATTAGTGAGCTTCACTATTGAAGAATAAGAATTCAGTAGGAAGTGAGTACATATGTTTGTATTAGAGATTGGAATTGAGAATATTCCATATATATAAAAATAGGAATGGTATAATAAACAGGCATAGTACTTGGGTTTT